TATATAGATGTAGGTAGATGTAGTTAACATAGATGTATAGATGTATGTAGATGTAGTTAACATAGATGTATAGATGTAGGTAGATGTAGTTAACATAGATGTATAGATGTAGGTAGATGTAGTAAACACAGATGTAGGTAAACATAGACATAGCTTGCGGTTGCACCGCGATGCGATAGAATAAATCTCTGTGATGACCGCGTTAGCGTGCAACCGTCAGAATGTACGTGTGCATTATAACTATATCTATAATATAACTATACGTCTATATATTATATACATTATACAAAATAACTATATATAATGTAACTATGCACATATGCATAGTTTCTAATTGCCATTAGGTTCTTCTATCGTTTTTTGTCCGTTACGATCCGATACGCGTGCCACGCCGATGCATACTAACGTTCACTGGCTTTCATCAATGAACGACGGAACGTTTACAACAAGTGTCGACCCCGACACGATCATACCTCGGCAACGAATTCGAGTTCGGGGTCCGCCAGTGGTTCGCAGATGTACGTCTCAGTGGGCGAGCCAACCACGAAGAATACTGTGCAGCAGAACATCAACAACGATGCGAAGATGAAGCACAACACAACTCCACTGAAACAAACAGACCGAGTTGGTGTTAGAAACAATTTCACCATAGCACGAAGCGATCACTAATGATACATATTAGCTCTTGCATTATTAGCTCTTGAAGCGATATATAGCGGTCGATATGTAAGTGTTGTTTACGAACGTAGCAACAGAGCCCATGTGCACAACCTGCTTTATACGTCTGGCCCACAGCCCTCTTACTCTAACTGGTAAAATGTTATTGATGAATATCTGATAATTACTAAATCTTAAATAAGATGCATTTAAAACCTCAAGGCAATACTAGATAAATTGGTTAACATACAAAGCGGATTGGCGATCCCCTTTTCTCTGAAGTGTTCAGCTTATCGAAATAATACATAAAATGTCATTCAAACAATTCACGCGTTTGTGAAGGCGGAATCTGTCGCTCTTTTACATAAAGGGCCGGACACACTAGGCGATTAAATCGCCCTGAAATCGCCTAGTGTGTCCACTCAATCGCCGCCGATTTCGTCGCCCGATTTCATCGCATAGATCAAAACGTTTTGATATTATCGGGCGATTTTGTCGCCCGATTTTGTCGCCCGATTTCATCGCCTAGTGTGTCCGGGGCCGGCGATAACATCGCCCGATTGTACAATTCATCAGCCAATCAGAGTTGTTCAATGATACTGACGTAATAGCGATGTTTCATGTTTAGTATGTCATGTCATGTAATAGCGATGCACGCACGCACGTACGCATGTGTACGTGCACACGCACGCACGCACGCACGAACGCACGTGTACGTACACACGCACGCACGCACGCACGCACGCACGCACGCACGTGTACTTGCACACGCACGCACGCACGCACGCACGCACGTGTACTTGCACACGCACGCACGCACGCACGTATACGTGCACACGCACACACGCACGCACACACGCACGCACACACGCACGCATGCACGTACGTTTACATACACACACACGCACGCATGAATGCACGCAGGTGTACGTGCACACGCACGCACGCACGTATACGTGCACATGTATGCACGACTTATTCACCGGCGATTTAATCGCCCGATTTAATCGCCTAGTGTGTCCACTCGACTCGCGCGATAGAATCGGGCGATTTTGTCGCCCGATTTTATCGCCCGATTTAATCGCCTAGTGTGTCCGGCCCTTTAAGGCACTTAAATGTTAAGTGTTTATGTTAAGTTTTATGTTAATGTTTAAGTTTATGTTAATGTTTTAATGTTTAAGTTTATGTTAATGTTTTAATGTTTAAGTTTTATGTTAATGTTAAGTTTTATGTTAAGTGTTTCCGGCTCTTTAATTACACAGTTTGAGTCGAATGCGTTCAAACTCAGCATGCACGGTGATGCGCTCGTTCAGTTTGCAGTTAAACCCAGCAGCGCGTATGATGAATATAGAATTACGCGCGTAGATAGGTCTTTATACGCCGATGATACTACTCTCACCACAACAGACAGTTGCCACCGCAGTGCGAAGTGTTGCTTCTAAGTGTCGGGTGGTCATTCTTACTGTATCCAACGATGCCACAAGTCATGCCGAGAGCGAGACAGACGACGATGATGAACACTACGATAGCGAGAGCCATCCAAGTCCACCACCTGTACGAAGAAAGTGGACAATACAATTATACCAATGTTGCTGCACTCGTCACAGGTCGTGATGAGCCAAATTAATGGGTGATTCTTTCTGAACTGCGCACGATAATAGTAAGAATAGTATGAACATTTATGTACCCACACGCGCACTGAAGGCCCAGCTACTCGATTGCTATTAATATTAATGGTCTGTATAGTTGGAAAATCATTTTTAGACGAAAATGTATTTAAACGAAGCCGTCACAAACCCATTTACTGCATCTACCTCAACGTAAAACGTAATATTACTACTACAGGATGTGAATGTTAAAACAAATATCGCTATATCGACTCGCTAAGTATTTCCTGGTCAGTTGTACCTTGCTTGCTCTGCAATGTTTGCTTCATCTGAAGACACGGCGTCCAACCATTCCTGTTTCAATTCATCTGTGATCGCCTGAAACAATTCGGGTGTGACGAAGCACGAAATTCTATGCGAAATTCTATGCGAGGTTCTATGCGAAATTCTGTGACGAAGCACGGAATTCTATGTGAACTATACAAGCATGTAAATTTCAGGCAGAAGTGAAGTAAGAGGTAAAACATACGAAATTTCGAATGAGATGAGTGCACTTCGAAATAAGATGATCTGGACTTACGTATTCGTTGATGGCTTCAATGAGGTCATCCAGCTCTTCCACCATCTCCGCCTCCGTATCGTTCAACGTTGTTTTAATATCTATCGAAACAATGCGTGCTTTAATTAATTAACAAAACTGTTACTTAATTAATTAACAAAATCAATTAATTAGTAAGTTAGTTTCATTAATTTATCGATTAATCAAGTATTTCCGTATCGTGTCGATTCTTGTTATCACGTTAGGTAAACGGAGGGTTATGTATTTGCGAGCACATTTCCTCCGGAACGTTTACATTGACAGTTATATGACTCGACGCAATGAAATAAGTACAAAAATTCTGATGAGCAGTTCGGATCACCGTCATACCTTCTCTACTTTGCTCTGTTGCTGTGTATATCTCATCCGGAATGTTGTTAATCGCATCGCTTGCCTGGAACCATGTTATGTAAATCATAGGCATGTCTATAGTAATAGCACACCTGCATTTACACAAGCTTAATATATATCTCAGGCACATCAGTTGTTTCCGTATTCCATTCTAAATGAATGTGTAATACTAACATGTATACCATGTATACATACATGCATACATGTATGTATGTATGCATGTATGTATGTATGTATGCATACATGTGTACATGTGTATGTATGTGTAATACCATGTGTTCTATGTGAATGAGCAATACCAACGGTATTCCACACGGTACTTCGCTTGGCTTTAACACAAGTACGCGTACGTGTTTTCTACGCGTATAGGCCTACTCTATTTCTAGAACGTTTTTTCTTTCTCGTAATCAAACCTTTTGAACAGATCTCCTACTCAAACACCACGACATACAAGTCACGACCTCACTGATATTCGCGGCGCGGGGGTGCACGCACAGCACAACTTCACAAGCGCCTACTGCCACAGCCGCGCGTGCATCAACCGCCAACAACACACAGGCACGCGCGCGTGCACGCACAACACCAACACACACCACGCCACGCACGCGCGCCGTGCCGCACACACACCACACCAACACACACACACACACAACGTCACGCACACGAATACACTACGCACAACACCACGCACACGCACACACGCGCACGCAGGTGACCAATTTAACCATGACGTCCGCTCTGCCGCACGCCCTGCATCCGTGCACCGCGATCACCAACAACACACGAAACGCACAACGCCACACATCAACAGCACGCACACAATCAAACACCACACACGACACACCTGCGGCTAGTCGCAGCCAAACTACACAACAACACGCACACGCACACTGCGACACCCACTCGAGACACACTCGCATTGCGCCGCGCGTGCCACGACAAACACACACGCACACGCCACAACACACACACGCACACACATCACAGGCAGCAACACACACACCACAATTACAACGTCACGCACGACGCACACGCAACGCACGCACACAAGCACAACCATACACAGAACGCACGCAACGAACACGGCACACACACAATACACACACGCAACACACACCACACCGACACACACACACGCAGCACACAAACAACACACCCGACAACATAACAGCACACCACAGACATACCACAGCACGGGCACACACCACACACCACACACACACACAGAATGCACTACTGCTCACCATCGCACGCACGCAACGCTACGCACGAGCACACACGACACACACACACACCACACATGCACACCACCACTGCGCGCACGCACAACAGCTGCGCGACGCACGCACTGCTCGATAGCACCACAGCGCGCGTACCGCGCGCGCAACGCCTACGACAATACAAGACCACATACTTACACACACATAAAACTCTACACACTGACAACACTACACGACCGAGCAACCATACACACACACACACACACGGAATTTAATTATAATATACTCTCATTTGCCATCTAACGGTAGACTTCCAACATAGAAGAGTTGATGTTATGAGCAAACAACTATTCTCACCTCAATAGCAAGCTTAGTCAGGTTCATGGTCTGTACTTCATTAATTTGATCCAGGAGGTCTTTCAATTGCACCAACACCTGTATATGACGTTTATAGTTAATATAGTTCGTCATAATTTCTCGTAATTTCACTTTACATGCTGTAGTAACTAATGCTAAATCATTGCGATATCAATAATATTGAGGTATTTCTAATGTGCAGTAGTTTTAATAATTTCACGTGTATTTGGCAGCTACATACCTGACTGTAGTCCACCTCAATAACGACGCTGTCCGGTTCGAGACCTGGACACAGACCACCACTGCATGCTGTTGTTAAGTTTTGTTCCAGCGCGGTCAACTCGAGTGAAAATGTTTCTACTGTGGACTGCATTCGGTCTAAAGTTGTTACAAACACTCCAACATCCTCTGCAACCTTGTCAACTTCTAGAAAGTAACAGTGTATTAGTAAACAGAGATAATGCTAGATTTATTTCTTGTGTTTTTTTTGCGGTTAATTACCATGGATTACGATGCAAACTTTCACTATTCAATTTAACTTTTAGAAAGGCTTTTAGAAAAATTTCTATTATAGATCCCGTCAGGTAGAACCCTGTACTTTCAATACTAGAACCTACAGTTAGGCCAATATATACCTGCTCCTAGCTTCATGACGGAATCTATCGAAGCGTCGAGATCGGCGATGGCGCTAATGTCGTCAACGACTGGTTTTCCCAATACGTTCGCGATGTCTGAAGATGTATGTGTAAAGACGATGACGTAGGAAGGTGAAATGTTCATCAGAAAAACAGGCAAGCGTTAATTGTGCATAGATTATAGCATAGATAATAGCATAGATTATCGATTATAGATTATAGATTATAGCGTAGATTATAGATTATAGATATAGATTATAGCGTAGATTATAGATATAGATTATAGCGTAGATTATAGATTATAAATATAGATTATAGCGTAGATTATAGTATTATTGGGGTGGGGCGGTGCAGGTGACACCGGATTATCCTACATACATTCCTTCTGGCTCCTATTCCACAAACACACACACACACACACACACACACACACACACGCGCGCGCGCACGCGCACGCACACGCACACGCACACGCACACGCACACGCACACGCACACGCACACGCACACGCACACGCACACGCACACGCACACGCACACGCACACGCACACG